CTCCTTTGTTTATGAAGCTTAGTTTGGCTGGATATGAAATTCTAGGTTGAAAATTCTTTTCTGTAAGGATATTGGATATTGGCCCCCACTCTCTTCTGGCTGTAGGACTGCTGCCGAGAGATCCTCCGTGAGTCTGATGGGCTTCCCTCCATCGGTAACCTGACCTTTCTCTCTGGCTGTCCTTAGCATTTTCTCCTTCATTTCAGCCCTGGTGAATCTGATGATTATGTGCCTTGGGGTTGCTCTTCTTGAGGAATATCTTTGTGGTGTTTTCTGTATTTCCTAGACTTGTATGGTGGCCTGCCTTACTAGGTTGGGGAAGTTCTCCTGGATAATATCCTGAAGAGTATTTTCCAGCTTGGATTTATTCTCTCCATCACATTCAGGTACACCTATCAATCATAGATTAGGTCTTTTCACATAATCCCATATTTCTTGGAGGATTTGTTCATTTCCTTTTACTCTTTTTTTCTCTAATCTTGCCTTCTAACTTTATTTCATTAAGTTGATTTTCAATCTCTGATATCGTTTCTTCTGCTTGAATCGATTCTGCTATTGAAACTTGTGTATGCTTCGTGAAATTCTTGTGTTGTGTTTTTCAGCTCCATCCATTCATTTTTATTCTTCTCTACACTGTTTATTCTTGTCAAACCTTTTTTCAAGGTTCTTAGTTTCTTTGCATTGGGTTAGAACGTGTTATTTTAGCTCAGAGAAGTTCGTTATTACCCACTTTCTGAAGCCTGTTTCTGTCAATTCATCAGACTCATTCTCCATCCATCTTTGTTCCCTTGCTGGTGAGGAGTTGTGATCCCTTTGAGTAGGAGAGACATTCTGGTTTTCAGTGTCTTCATCCTTTTTGCACTGGTTTCTTCCCATCTTTGTGGATTTATCTTCCTGTGGTCTTTGTAGTTGGTGAATTTTGGATGGGATCTCTGATCAGACATCCTTTTTGTTGATGATGAAGTTATTTCTTTCTGTTTTTTAATTTTCCTTCTAACAGTCAGGCCCCTCTGCTGTAGGACTGCTGGAGGTCCACTCGAGACCCTGCTTGCCTGGGGATCACCTGTGCTGGCTGCATAACAGTAAGGGTTGCTGCCAGTTTCTTCTTCTGTTATCTTTGTCCCAGAAGGATACCCGCCAGATGTCAGCCTGAGCTCTCCTTTATGAGGTGTCTCTTTACATATATGGGGGTTGGGGAGCTGCTTGAGGAGACAGTCTGTCCTTTGTAGGAGCTCAAGTGCTGAGCTGTGAACTCCTTTTTTCCATTCAGAGCTGCTGGGCAGGTACGTTTAAGTCTGCTGCAGCAGAACTCATAACCACCTTTTTTTCCCAGGTGCTCTGTCCTGGGAAGGTGGGGCTTTATTGATAATTTCCTGACATGCTGCTGCCTTTTTGCAGAGATGCCTTGTCCATCAGGAGGTAGCCTAGTCACAGTCTGCTAGTAGCAGTGTTGCTGAGCTTCCATGGGCTCTGCCCAGTTGCTGTGTGAACTTCCTTGTGGTTTTGTTTATAGAGGTGTAGTTAGAACTCCCTCAGTAATGGCAGTTTGACTCAGTATAGTGGACTGCCTCTGTATGGCGGACTGTCTTGGTAATGGCGCATTGCCTCAGTCATGGCAGAATGCTTTGGTGGTGGTGGACTGCCTTGGTAATGGTGGCTGCCCTTCCCCCCACAGAGCTGGACTGTCCCAGGTCCAGCTGTGTTTGCTGTGAAACTCTCAGTCTGGAGTGTTTCAGATTGCTGGTCTTTGTGGGGGTAGGACCCGCCAAGCCAGATCACCTGGCTCCCTGTTTCAGCCCCTTTTTTTTCAGTTGAATGGGCAACTCTGTCTCCCAGGCATTCCAGGCACCAGCTGAAATGGCTTCCCAGATTTGTGTGAATTTTTGTGCAGAGGTGCACTGCACTGGCTGAAACAGCTGTGCTGGAAACTCGTGGCACTTTTCCACCCAGGAATCTCCTGGTCTGTGGGCAGTAAAAACTCGTTTGGAAATATGGTGATCACTCACCCTCTGCGTTCTCGCTGGGAACTGCACTCCAGAGCTGTTCCTATTTGGCCATCTTGGATCCCACTTTAACCTTCCTTATAGCTCAGATCATCCTCCTGGGGTCAGTTACCTTCTGTCTGAACTATTTATTAAAATTTTTTTTTCCTATGAGAGTTAACAGATGATGTAATTTTTTTTGTTTGCCTGGTCTTTATATCATTCTCATTTTTGAGTGAAATTTTTATTGAATGTATAATTGTAAATTTGCAGTTATTTTCTGAAGTATCATTTCACTATCTGTTAGCTTCCATATTTGTTGAAGAGAAGTCATTTGCCAGTCCATCACCTTTGAAAATAATGTGTCTTCCTCTCTGTGTGTTATATATTTTTTTCTGCTAATTTCATTCTGATGTGTCTGTATTTGGGCTTCTGTTTATTATGTTGAGATTTATTGGCTGCTTAATCTGGATTGTTGATGTTCATCAGTCATAAAAAATTATTAGCTAATTTTTTTTTTTTTGAGACAGAGTCTTGTTCTGTCACCCAGGCTGGAGTGCAGTGGCTCCATCTCAACTCACTGCAACCTCTGCCTCCTGGGTTCAAGCTATTCTCCTGCCTCAGCCTCCCGAGTAGCTGGGATTGCAGGCATCTGCCACCAGTCCCAGCTAATTTTTGTATTTTTAGTAGAGGCAGGGTTTCACCATGTTGGTCAGGCTGATCTCGAACTCCTGACCTCATTATCCACCCACCTTGGCCTCCCAAAGTGCTGGGATTACAGGCATGAGCCACTGAGCCCGGCTAGCTAATAGTTCTTAAAATAGTGCCTCTTGCCCCCTTTTCTTAATCATTTTTTTCCCTTCCTTGGACTCTGGTTAACATATGTTAGGTATTTTTACACTATCTTCCATATCTTTTAACGTATAAAAATATTTTTGATCACTTTGTCTCTCTGCCTTGCATTCTAAGTAATTCTTCTAATATTTATTTTATTATTATTATTATTTAGTGAGACAGGGTCTTTCTCTGTCACCCATGCTGGAGTTTAATGCTGTGATCACAGCTCACTGCAGCCTCAACCTTCTGAGCTCAAGTGATCCTCCTGTCTCAGCCTCCTGAGTAGCTAGAACTAAAGACATGCACTACCATTCTTGGCTTCTTTTTGTATTATTTTGTAGAGATAGGATTTGCCATGTTGCTGAAGCTAGGATCGAACTCCTGGGCTGAAGTAATTCACCAACCTTGGCCTCCGAAAGTGCTGGGATTCCTTAATACTAGTTCATTAATTCTCCAAAGCTGCATTAAATTTGTGGTTGAGTTGATAAGAGTGTTTTATTCAATTATTTTACTTTTCATTTCTACAAATTGTTCCTTGTTTAGGTTTGTTAAATCGTTTTTAAAGTTTCCTGCACCAGGAGTATATTTTCAGCTTGGTTTTTGTGCCTTTTAACATAGTAAGTGTAGCTCCTTAGAATTCCAATATTTGAAGTTTTTTGGGGGTCTATTTTTGCTGTTTTCCTTTGTGGCTCTTTGTTTCCATGCTGACTGAGTTATTCTTTATGGTTAACTGTTCATTTTTCTTGGAAAATTATTTGTCAAACTTCTTTGAGGTCTAAGATGAAAGTAGTAGCTCTAAGAAAGACTTGTGTTTCTTCTAAAGCAACTGAGTCTACTATCAGCTTGGGACCATTTTAAACTAAATTCCACTTGAGATATTTTTTAAAATTTAAGTTGTCCTGTTTATTTATGTTATGACAAAATATATGTAATATAAAGTTTACCATATAAACCATTTTAAGTGTCTGGCTATAAATTTTTTATAACATTCAGTGACTGTGACTTTAGGCTGCAATTTTGCTGAACTGGTTTTTGCTTATAGCTTATTAGGGACCCCGCACTCCATTCTATTCAGCAGTTCAACTTTCCTTGCAACCTTCTGTAGATATGATGGGAGAAGGGTTTCTCCATTCCCTGAAGCCATAGCCCTTTGGGTTCTCAGCTTTCTCGGAGGATGGTTGGGCAAGGATCCTGTGTTAAATGTATCATGTGTTGTCTTCTCTATTCTGCGCCTTTCAAAACCATATAAACTGCAGTTTCAGGTCACCTGATTGGGAAGTGCCCTTAGGGCAAATGTAACTTCAGTGTCTAGTTTACCTCTCTGAGTGTCTGTCAATACTTGGAGATTTATGATTACTTCGCGCCATTTTGTTAACCCTCTTTTGCTTTTAAAATGATATTTTAAATATTTTATTGAGCATTTGTAGTTTTCTACTGTTTGCGATAACGCAGATGCCAAATTGTTGAAAAACCAAGCCTGCCCTCCCTCTTAACTACTCTGCTGGCACACAGGGCTTGCATTCCTTTTCTCATTTCTTGAGGGAAGATAGTTGCAAATATAACTTTAAGAAGGCTCATACAGGCTCTGATGTCAACAATGGGGAAAGGCACTATAGGTAGGCACCTGGATTCTTACAAGCCGGGGGGGGCATGACTTTTTTTCTAATTAGCAAGACAGTATACAGATGTTAAAGGTTGCATAATAATAGTACTGTGCTCCAGAGCTCAGGGTTGGGAGTTTCAAGTTCAGGCAATGGTATATATTTTATCAAAACGTTAAAGAACAGAGACTGAAGAGGATATTAGATATTTTTAAATGTTGGATATTTGGATGACCTGTATTTGGATTATCTGGAATATTTGGATTTTGTATTGGTAGTTGATTATCTTTGATAGTGTAGTTTCAATAGAGTATTGAGGGTGAACTTTTGTGTAGAGTTAAAAAGAGAACGTATGTAGTGGGTGGTTCAAAAAGATGATGATTGACGTTAGATATAAGCAAGATCTTCATTTTGTTGATATTAGTATATATGTGACTGTGAGGTTGAAAAGTTATAAAGCTAATGATGTGCAAAAATGAATCACTAATTATGCAAATAATATAATAGTATGGAATGTATATGCTCAGAAATCTTTAGGCTCAAGTTTAATCCTTCTTTTCTTATCTATTTTGATATTGAGGTTCCCAGACGTTATGATGATGAGCGGAATAATATTTTATTGGAACTGATGCAATATGACAATATAAAAAAAAGTGCATTCTCGTTAGGGAGTGTTCAGATACATCTTTATGAAGTAATTCAGGTAGGTATCAAAATGATTCTTTTTACCTGGGTATCTTTTTACCTTGCCAGTTGGTTATCCAGTTTGTGGTTGTGATTTATTATACCTGATGGACTCTTCTTGTTTATTATCTGCCTTCAAATTCATGAACTTAAGAAATAAAATCTCCCTTTGGCTAAATATTTTTTAAAAGAGTTGGCTTATAATAGCATAATGTTTTAAAAAATTTATTTTACAGAATATATATATATATATATATATGTATGAAATTAAGTAACCACTTGGACTTTTAGGTTGTATCACTAAAACTAATTTTCTGGAAAATAAATTTTCTTGGCTCACTGCAACCTCTGCCTCTCTGGCTCAAGTGATTCTCCTGCCTCAGCCTCCCCACTATCTGGGACTACAGGCCCCTTCCACTGCACCTGACCAATTTTTGTCTTTTTAGAAGACAGGGTTTCACCATGTTGCCCAGGCTGGTCTCATACTCCTGAGCTCAAATAATCTTCCCACCTCAGCCTCCCCAAGTGTTGGGATTACAGGCCTGAGCCACCACGCCCAGATATTTAAATTTGCAAATAAAAGCTGTATATATTTATTATGTACATAATGTTTTGAAGTATGTATACATTATAGAATGGCTAATAGAGTTAAACATGTTTTACTATGTTTCTGAAATGTCTTAAGACATGACTGAAGCTGCAAACTCTGTCTCTTAGTCAGCAATACAAATTTCAGTTAAGTTCTTTTTTCCTTAGCTGGGCTGCCTACAGCCTTCCTTGTGTGTGTGTCTTTGAGGGGTTAGCCGAAGATTTGGGCAGAGTTTATATACAGATTTTATGGTTGCTTCTCTCTTGTTTTCTCTTTTCTAGAAGTCTTTCTCACTTTCCAGCAGCTCATTTTGTGGTTGCCTTGAATTCAGAGTAAAGAACTTATTGATTAGTGAATAAGTATAAACCATCCAAAGTATTTTCAGGAATATTTTTTGTTGCATACAGCAAGGAAGTTTTCAAAGACTAATGGAGTTGTGTCAACAGCCAGACTGCAGGGACTCCTACTGGCCAACTTCAGAATAACTTGAACATAGATTATTACAACATTCTGAATAAAGGAAGATTCGTGAGTCCTTGGTGATCTTCAAAAAAGAAAAGAATAGCATAGGAAGAAAAAGGAAATTTTTAAAACAAAAGAATACCACTTTATGAATGTAGAAGTAATGAAAGAATTACAAATTATTGTTTTTGCAACTCTTTATAATGAATAATGATTAATTCAGTCAATATTTAGCAATGGCCCTAAAAACTATTAGGTAAAATGTTATTGGAAAGCAAGATATTTGCATGGTGCCACAGTAGCAGCTTATAGATCATTGCACAGGGGAAATATTCCTTTATATTAGAGAGATGTGGAGTTGCCACTTTAACGAAGAGCTTGAATTTAGCGTAACAAATTGTGGATAACTTAACATCATGTACTTCCTGTAGCGATACAATGTGAAGGACACATTATTATCTATGACTTATTGTCATAAAAAATGTGTAACCTGACTGGGTGCAGGCTTAGGCCCATAATCCTAGCACTTTGGGAGACTGAAGTGGGAGAACTGCTTGAGGCCAGGAGCTGGAGACCAGTCTGGCAACATAGCAAGACTCTGTCTCTACACACACACAGAATTAGCTGGGTGTGGTAGCATGTGCCTGTAGTCCAAGCTACTTGGGAGGCTGAGGCAGGAGGATCAATTGAGCCCAGGAGTTCAAGACTGTAGTGAGCTATGATCATGCTCCTACACTCCAGCCGGGTGGCAGAGAAAGATCCTGTCTCAAAAAAAAAAAAAAATTTAACCCGAATCTAATCAAGCTGAGTGTAGAACTAACTTCAAGTTTACAGGAATTTAGTGAGTAGGGAAAAAGTTAAACAATATTTTAAGATAAGTACAGAAGTGGGACATACCAATGTAGATTGTTTAAACAGCTGTGGTCATTAAATACCAAAACCCACCAAAGATGGAGGAAACTGTTCCAGATTTAAAGAGATACAACAAGTTTGACTGAATACAGATTTGAAAAAGTTATAAAAGATTCTTGGGAGCCAGGCATGGTTGTTCACACCTGTAATTCCAGCACTTTGGGAGGCTGAGGGAGGTAGATTGCTTGAGCCCAGGAGTTTGAGACCAGCCTGGGCAACATGGTGAAACCACTTCTCTCTTTTTTTTTTTTTCCCATTTATTTATTTTATTGCATTTTAGGTTTTGGGGTACATGTGAAGAACATGCCAAATTGTTGCATAGGAACACACGTGGCAGTGTGATTTGCTGTCTTCCTCCCCATCACCTACATCTGGCATTTCTCCCCTTGCTATCTCTCCCTAGCTTCCCACCCCCCACCGTCCCTCCCCTATTTCCCCCCAACTGACCCCAGTGTGTAGTGCTCCCCTCCCTGTGTCCATGTGTTCTCACTGTTCAACACCCGCCTATGAGTGAGAACATGCGGTGTTTGATCTTCTGCTCTTCTGTCAGTTTGCTGAGAATGATGGTTTCCAGGTTGATCCATGTCCCTACAAAGGACCCAAACTCATCGTTTTTGATGGCTGCATAATATTCCATGGTGTATATGTGCCACATTTTCCCTATCCAGTCTATCGTCGATGGGCATTTGGGTTGGTTCCAGGTCTTTGCTATTGTAAACAGTGCTGCAGTGAACATTCGTGTGCACGTGTCTTTATAGTAGAACGATTTGTAATCCTTTGGATATATACCCAGTAATGGGATTGCTGGGTCAAATGGAATTTCTATTTCTATGTCCTTGAGGAATCGCCACACTGTCTTCCACAATGGTTGAACTAATTTACACTCCCACCAACAGTGTAAAAGTGTTCCTATTTCTCCACATCCTCTCCAGCATCTGTTGTCTCCAGATTTTTTAATGATCGTCATTCTAACTGGTGTGAGATGGTATCTCAATGTAGTTTTGATTTGCATTTCTCTGACGACCAGTGATGATGAGCATTTTTTCATATGTTTGTAGGCCTCATGTGTGTCTTCTTTTGTAAAGTGTCTGTTCATATCCTTTGCCCACTTTTGAATGGGCTTGTTAGTTTTTTTCTTGTAAATCTGTTTTAGTTCTTTGTAAATTTTGGATATCAGCCCTTTGTCAGATGGGTA